TTCCTTTAGGATCAGTTGAAGCTCCAAGGATTGTGTTTTCATGCTAATCATACTATGCTATTTTTCAGCTTTGCCTTTGCAGTCATGCTGTAGCATCCATTAACCAGCATCCAAGATGCAGGCTGGTACTTTGTTGCAGGAGGTGACAGCTCCAGCTATTCAGCATCCTTTGTTTTGGCAGTTGTGCTCTTTGCCTCCCTGTCCATATTAGCCAACCTCCCACCTACACACCATACATTGACACAGTCAGCTGGATGGTTGGTGTTGCTGTCTCTGTCTCCCTTATTATTTTCTTCCCAAAGCTCTACTAATGGCCTTGTCTTGGCTTTGGGACTTCAGCTGTGATTTACTAGTTTGAAATTCTGGAATTACACGTGTGCTCTTGCATTGTCTTCAAGTGTCAGCTCTAACACCACTGCAGAGATGTTATAGTGTCATCATCTAAAGGACGATTAGATGACCAGTTTGAGGGTAGCTATTACTAATGATACAATAGGTAAAAAGGATCAAGAGAATTTATGCATTTGGCAGTTCTTTCTAACCAGTTTTACACTTACTTTCTGTAAAATTAGACCTGGAAAGAGGGGACTCATAATAAATATGAAATTCTGAAATGTCACGTGTGCCCAGCTTCTGCAAACTTTGTTATCATTACCTCTGTAAGAATTAAAAGTCAGTTCATGTAGTCCAGAGCAGCAAATATTGTCATACAATGCGTAATGGAAATTCATAAAAGCCAGTATTTAACATCTTGAAATGAGAAGTGTCACTTGAATCCGATGTTTTACAGCAAAATATGAAGGTAAATATTAAGGCATTTTCATCAGGTGGCTTTAAATTAATCTTTGGATTTACTATAAAAGAAAATGAAGAACCTTTGAGTAATGGAGCAACAGAGTGCTCTTCATCTTGCTGTAACTCTAAAGTATGACACTGGGAGAAAAAACACTTAGAAATAATTGCATTTCCATGTTGAAAGCTCTCATTATTTGAGTCCAAAATGCTTTAAAATTATCTGGTTTAGGCCTTGATACTGGAAATTAACTTTGGATAGTAAGATGCATATACAGCGGCAGAACAAAACCCCACTGAAGTTAATAGGCTTGACTGGCCTGGAGTTCTGTCTCGTAGGGCTGTTGGCAGTGCTTTTGTTTTAACTGCGAAGTGTTTTAGAATGCTTTTTCCAACTGGATATATGATGTTACGTTTATGACAGATGAGTAGTACCAAACTTCAAACCATCCGACAAAGCAGCCTTCCTTCACTTTGTTCAGGAAGATCTCTTTGATTCTGTTTGTATTTAAAGTGCGTTGCTGGATAATCATGGAACATGTGTCTGTTTAAACCAAATTCAAAGAGTATCGTGAACTGACACCTGCTTAAGTCTTTAATTAAAAGTGGCTTAATCTCTAACAATCTCTACATACATAAGCACAAAGTATCTGTGTTTAATGTGTACTTTGAACTGCCACTAATTTAGAAATCAAAGATTTGTAAATGAAACACAGTATGCTAGACATGATGATGTTTGACTGGAATCCCTTCTTGTTGGCATAGCCTAGTTTTCCTGCTGCTGTCAGCCACTGGAAATACATCCTTATTAAAAATTATGTGGAGAGGGAAAGTATAAAAAGAAGGGTGTCTTAAAAAATGTGTGTGCATCTACTATATATAAACCATATTTAAGAGAGGCAAATATATACAGTGGGACATATAATGGAGAATTGCTCCTCCTTGGAAAGATCAGTGGAGGGAATACTGTTTGTATTTCCAGACTTATGTATGCTATAGTAAGAGATGTATTTTCTGTATTTTTTCCTTAGTACATGTAGTGAGCATGACTTGCACAAGCTGGGGAGCATGTAACCTGTTTGACATGCTCATCTTGCCTATCTTGAATTATGGCAGTGTCTGTGCTATGTATGTGTTGAGTTAAGTTACTAGCAAAGATGTGTGGAAATGCATCTGGAAAGTTGGACATTCCTGAAAAACATTTCAGAGCTGATGTTTAAGAGTGCAGCATTAAAGGCATTTGCTTTTGACCTCCTGCAGAGCTCACCAAAAGTAGTTTTGGGTAAGAGAAGACTACAGAAAGAACTTTGGCTTGATTTAAATATGGATAGTTGTGCTTTTGGGATGGAGACTTAAATTCTGAAAAGTTAGGTGTTTGTTTGGGTTTTGGTTTGGTTTTTTTTTCTTTTTAAGAAACTTTATTTTCCCTTTTACTATGGTTTGTTCATAATGCTGGATTTAAAATAGTTGGGGTATTGTTTGGGTCACTGTTACCAACCGTTCATAAGCGCATTCATATTTGTATACCGTGATACAAATCCAGTGTGACAATTGATGGATCACAGCACTTCACCCTTAGACTGAGTGTCTCTACAAGCTGCATTCAGGGAGAGACAGAGGAGGCAATTAGAGAAGTCTTTTAATTGTGGCACAGGTATTTGACTATGACGTTTACTGATGGCTGTTGTCATTGCATGTCCAAAGCCCAGTAAGGTAAATCTTTATTTCCCTCTTTTCTCCCATCTGAACTTTGCTTCAGAATGCTGCACCCACCAGTGTAAGATTCCTATGATTTCAATTAAGAAATTGGGAGTCTGAGGTTAAACACTATCCACTGCTGGTTTTCTATGATTACTTAAAAAAAATCACTGGACCACAGTGTTAGCAAACCAATATGCATGGAATTATAACAGGGAGGAAGCAAAGCCGACAGTCTGAGTAAATTAGAGATACATTCTGTTTCTGGTGTTTAAAATTTCAACTGTTTTTTACTGGACTGAATCAATCATGAAATAGTTCCAGTTGGAAGGGACCTTAGGAGGTCTTCTCTACAAATTCCTGCCCAAAGCGGGTCAGCTATGAGATCAGACCAGCTCCCAAAACTCTCTGAGAATGGAGACTGTGCAACCTCTGGACAACCTGTGTCAAGGCTTGATTGTCGTAATGGTGAAAAAAAGGGGTATTTCTTTATATATTGGAATCCATCTGTTTTTCAACTTAAGCCATTGTGTTTTTTCATCCCACCATGCATTGTTGTAAAGAGCTTGTTAACTAAGCCTCTTTTAGGTGCAACATGGCGGTTGTTAGGTCCACCCAAAACCTTCTCTTCTCCAGCTTGAACAACCCCAGTTTCCTCAGCTTCTCATCATAGGGCAACTGTTCCTGTCCTCAGCTGTCTTGGTGTCCTTCCATTCAACTTGCTCTAATTTCCTGGAAGCTTTCTTGAATCGAAGGGCCCAGAACTATTACCACGTTGGTCTTCATGCAATGAAAGGACCTTTTTGTAATTGTGATGTGGAGGCTTACTGAGGTCGTTGTATGTTTTGTATCTGGCCAATGGGATCAAAGTTATTTAGTTGAGTGTGTACCTTAGGGGAGCCTTTTCTAGGCCAACTCTAGGTTTTGGGATAATGGACTTCTTATTTTTTAAGAATAGCCCCTGAAGGGATGGCTGCCTATGGAGCTTCCTACATGTAATGGGTTTATGATTGGCCTTCACTGAAGGATTTAAACTAGAACCTTATAGCTGATATCTTACTCCTTTCTGGTTTTATACATAGATTTTAAGATTAGTGTGGTGGAGTATACTGAAAGTAATAAAAAACAGACCCAGAAAAATTGTTGCATGTTTAAAAAAAAATATCATAAAATGAAAGAGGAAGTGCATCATTTATTATAACACCATGTAGACTAATGAAAAACATACTGCAGGCTGGAAATTTGTTAAGAGCTGAACTCAAAAAGTTTCCATTCCCAAAAATGCCTTGGGGCCTCTGGCTGTAAGCCTGGGGCTGAAGAGGCCCTATGGTAAACTGACATAAAAAATAACTACTTCATAAACATCCAGCTCCTGTTTCATAATAGTTGGAAATGAGTTTTTAAAAAGTGTTACCTCTTGATATTGACTGTACTTTATCAAAGTAAAAGGGAGGCAGTGCATTTATGACTGGAATGTTAAATTGGGAATTAAACACTGGGGAGATGAGCACTGGGCACAAAACCATTATGTTTGCTGTACATAGGAGAGCATGAAAAAGATGGAGTGGCTTACTGAGAGGAACAGAAGAGCTCTTGGTCTGGCAAAGCTGATACTAACATGAAGTTATTCCTGGCTTCTAGTCCTTTGCTCATTGACTAGACTGGGGTGAACAAGTCATCTACTCCCCACCACTGTGAGCAGGTGTCAGCCTTTGCCCTGGAGCACATTCTTCAGACTGCATCCAAATACACCTGCAGAGTTTGAGTATTGATGGTGTTTGCACCATCAGTACTCAGATGGGTGGTATCGGCTGTTTGGAGAAGACCAAGTTTTGTGTGTCTTTCTTTTTAATCTGTTTAGCTTTCTTAAAGGTCTGTCTTCCTTGTGGAGTTACCCCAAACTGGTTGACTGCGTGTTGGCTTTGCCTTTCTCCTTCTCCCTGATGGGCCCTTGTCAGTGTATGACAATCATTAATGTGGGCTGTGGATTTTCAGGTAGTTTTAGCTGTCATGATGGCCCAGTGATAGAGGACATGGGGAGAGCGTTACAGCCTCAACTCCTTCTTCACATGGATTGGCAAGCAGTTTGGAGAAATAATGCCTGTTAGAACCTTCTGAGGGCTGATGTTCCTCCAGTCTGTTTCTGCAGTTCTTCTCGATGATGGAGGTTCTTCTGCCTGGCAAGAAGCCCTGGAGTGCCTCAAAATCATGGATCATGGACTTCCATGAAGTCCAGATTTCACAAACATATAAAGATGTAGTAAATTGGATGTACCTTTGTATGAGGCTACTTAGGCCACTGGTTTGTGATCTCTGAGGAGGACAGTCTGGAAGTACATAATGCTTGTCTTGGCTAACTGTTCAGTGAGGACTTAGTAATCCAGTACATTTTCACAGAAGTAAATAGCAGGTCTAGAAGTCCCAATTTAGGTAAGTATTTTCACTGTTTAAATTGGTTAAATAAAAGATATACAATGATGGTCACAGTGTATGTCTATAGCTGTACTTACATGAGGTGCAGCCCAGGAGAGCGTCAGCCTGAGATTCAGCCACTGGGAGGAAAGAAGAAAAGAAAAAGAAAAGGTGAAACAGTTGTTGGTAAGGGGTTGAAAGAAATTAAAGAAAATTTCATCAATTCTGTTAAATACAGATCATTTTCATTTTTTCTTATGTCTTATTATACCATGTTCTGTGTAGCGTTTACAATACACAGTGTTTTCATCCAGTGATTAGAAAACCTGCAACATGATTGTGCATGTTTGCTGTTGAATTGCTGCATGTACTGACTTGACTGCAGCTGAGAAGTTGATAGAATTAATGTATCCCAGTGGTGATGTTTTTATTTACATTTGTGAGGTGAGTCGAGGATCTTGAATAAAGCTGTAGATTAGTCTAAAAATAGAAATGTAAATTCCTCCTCCTCATTGAGAATGTCAGTCTTGGTGGGTTAAAACCGACACCTAACAGTCCTGTTATGAAATACTTGTCATGTAGTAGGATACTATGATAAACGTCAGCTTGGTTTGTTGTAGAAAGCAGTGGGTTTGGCATACTGTGTTACACTTATTCACTTGGGTTGCTGAGTATGGATTTGCTCCTTTGCATGTGCTGGGGGGAAAAATGATGGAGAACAAGCATGTTTTATTAACTTATAAAAAGTGTAATATATCTGACCACTCAGAATTTCTAATGAGTATTTCAATATGCAGATGTAGCTTATCAAAAGGAGAAGAAAAATTCAGTAAAGCACTAATTTCCCTATCTTACAATAAATATATATATATACACACACACAGGTATATAGACATTATAGAGGTTTAAGTGTTTAGATAAATAATTGAACAGTAATACTTGGACAGCAGGAGAACTTTTAAGAATAGATAAATTTTCCCCTAAAAAAAAAGATTAGCTAGTTCAAGGGTGCTGCATTATGGCTGAATTTTGAGGTAAGCAGAATACTTTATTTTGGGAAAAAATGGTTTAAGATATCCTGTGCCACTTCATTCTTCTTATAGTAAAGTTTTACTGAGAAGTGCAGTCATGGTCTGTAAATATCTGATCTCTTTTTGATGCACATTTTCCCCTCTCCTTTTCTCTACTCCTAGCAGTGGTTCTGGTTTTTACTACCTCGTGTTACAGTCAGAGCTCCCCTGCTCTGCCTGGCCTCTCTTTGCCCTCGGTTTCACATATTGCGGCTGGCGTGTAAGGACCCAAGAAAAATAAACAGTGCAGCCAGTATTTTGCTTGCAATTTTAGTTTCATAGTTTGATGAAGAATAGTAAACAGAAGCACAAACTATTGTTATTATGTGGTCATCATCTTATGAGAAAGGGATTTCCATGGCTAACATGTATTTGTGATGTGCCACACAGGTAGAAATCGCCTAACACCAACTGTAGCAGTCTTAAAACCATGCTGCAGTGGCTGGCTGTTTGATCGTGGTCTTGGGCTGGCCTCTCTTCTCAAGATCAAAGGTGAATGTGCCACAAATTCATGCAAAGAAACAGCAGATCTTCTGTTTATATTTTCATGCAGATTTAAGTTGTGTTCAAGGACCTGGTAAGGCAGTTGCAGCATGTGTTAGAGCAGAGAAATGGATGTAGAGAGCTCCTTTCCTCTATTAGATGGGAGGAGAATGCAAGTAGTTAAACTGGTGGGTGTGAAGAGGCCTGACTGATACCTCTTGCTGCCCCAAGTCCTACCTGTGGAACAGCTGTAATGGGTTCTGGAGCAATGGGAGCTCCAGCCATGTAGGAGCAAGGCATAGGAGATGGCTTCTCCTGACTATTCCAGTCCTTCACTGCCATAGTTGTGACTCACATCCATTTACGTATTGGTAAGACTAGAATTAGAGATGTGGGTTGTCGCTGAATTCAGCTGGCTAAGTTGCACAAAGTTATCTATGTGCATGGAAAGATGCAGGAGGGTTCTGCCTGAGGTGGTCACCCAGCAGTCAGCGAAGAGAAGCTCTGCTACTGTTGACCTCCAGATACACAGGAATAGCATGGATCTGGCTGCCTTCCTCCTTAGTGACTCAGTAGCTCTTCTGGATTGATTTGATTTTCTTGCTTTTTAATACTTGTTGAAGTTCAATTTCTTTTATGTAGTAAGCAATGTTTCAGGAATGATTAAATCACAACATGAATCATATCTGAAATGCTGAGTTGTACATGCTCTTCACATCTCTAAGCCTGTGGACATGAATAACAAGTTTCGTAGTGACAGCCTTAAAGTGCGTTTGCAGTTTTGCTGGGAGCTGAACCCACTGTTTTTAGTCTTCTAATGTAAGCAACTTGAGTGGAATAAAAAGCCAGTTAAACAGTTTGAAATGAACTTTTAACATGGACAGAATGAGCGCAGTATTTCTAGATAGCTTAAAGAATGGAGTATGTTTTCAAATGTCAGATTTAATGTATAATTTTATTCATAAGGTTTGTGTTTTATATTCTAACAAACAGAAGTAACATTAATCATGTATAATTCTGAATCACAACATAAAATTTTGCAGTGCTGTAATTAAAAAAAATGAAAGAGATAAGGAGTAGCAGCTGGATGGCTAATGAAGGTATTAATTTCAACATGTGTTTTAGACCATTAAGTACTATAAAGCAAAAAGCATTGCGTTGCCAGCACAAACCAAAGCCAGGCAGTGACTACCCCTCCCCTCCCTGGACCAGCATTGCATGGGGTGCCCTACAGCTCAGGCTTCACTAAAATTGATTCATTGGCTCAGGCAGTAGAAATGTGGAAGAAGATATAAATCACTGCTGCAGATTGTCTTTGCAAGGAAAGCCTTTTGTATTCTGCATGTGGATATGATCTTTATGAGAATGTTTTTCTACTTTCAGGTTGGAATACATTTTATACATTTATTTAATAGTTTGAGAACTAAGAATTCAGGTCATTTTTTCTGGCTGTCAGGACTCTTCAGAGGCTGCAGGCCATCCAATGCATCATTGTTCACATTGCACTGGGTTTTTTTAACAAGTCTGAAGCATTTTCCTTCTGTGGTTTCGCAACCCCCTTTTTTTCCCCCCAAACAGCATGAGTCCTATCACTAGATCAAATTTAGCAGTCACAGCTTCCAACAATTGTCTAATGGATCCACATGTTTACACAGCATGACACTGGCATCTAAATAGTGTCCTGGAAGTCTCCAATCAGTACTACTGTTTCATGCTTCCTCCTGGCTTTAAAAGAAAAAGCTACAGATGCAGTTGTTCTGGTATTCAGCGAAGCAGTGAATGGCCCCTCTGTTTCAGCCACTGGTATTGTGTCACAAAATTTTGAACACAAACTTTTTTCATTTGCTTAAAATGGAAATGTCAATTCTTGGGTATTTAATTAAAGCTTATTGTATCAATAAATAGATTTTAAAACGCTACTAAATGGGAGACTGGAAAGGAACATTTCTAGGCCAAGTCCCTTTTTGTCTCCCGAGAGTCCCAGACTGAATGAAAACCTTAAGCTGTGTGTGCCCCTACTATCAGCCTGCAAACTGATGCCTTGCTGAAGTCCATCTAGTCCACCCCCCCTTGGCAGGGCCTCTAGTTGATCTCCAGAGGTCCCTTCCAACTCCAATGATTCTGTGATTCTGTAAAGCTCCCAGCTACTTCTTCCTGCCACTGTTCTGTCTCTGTGTTATTAGCATTTGTGTAGCCTTATCACAGAATCAAATCACCAAATTGTTCTTGCTGAAGACTAACCCACCAAGTGGCAAGCACAGTCACTTGGCTTTTGGGGAGCATGGGAAGACCTTTTGTAATTAACTTAGCCAAACACTTTACAAAGTGTTTAATTCCTGTTCTCTGTGATTGGGTGTAAACAGATCAGTAGCAATTCCTTGGCAGCAAACTTCCACAGTCCTTTGCTCTGGAGAAACGTAGTCCCTGGTAGCATTAAGTAAAGGAAGGGGATTTGGTCAGGACACCAAAACCTTTCTGTTTTTTTAATGCTCTCATGGGATCTTTCACTTCCACACAAGCAGCTGCCTGAACTGGCCAAGTGCTCTTGATTTAATGTTGCTTTATGAACACTACTTGTCCCAGCTGCAGGATGTCATAACCTCTATTTCCTTAGCTTAGATTTGAAATCTGCAGTTGTATGATTCAGATGAACCACAACTGCCCTCGCTTTAACTTGATGTATTTGTTCTGAAAATACCGTTGTTCGCTCCAAGTCTTAGCTGCTGAACAAATTAAGCTGATTTGCACTGATAAATGGGGAATACTTAGCAGCTTGGTTAAAGAAAAAGAACACCCTAAAACCTGCAAAGAGAGCTCAGTAATTTTTAACTCATCGTGCCAAGGGTAATACTTCATTAGTGTAAGCTTAACAAATGCAATGCAGATTGTCCCAAAGATAAGTGTGCCTCTGAAAAAGTAAAAGAAAACATAAATCTCACCAAAATAATTGCACGTCATAGAGTATTTCAGTGAAAGGACAGTGAGCACAGAAAAAGCTGTTGCTGCTGACAGGATTCAGAATAGAGGATGATGAGCAGAACTGGGTTGCCTTTGCATTCCAAATTTGATTTTACGTGGGCTCCTGTTCTTGTGCGGCTTAGAAACAAGCTTTTGGATTTGAAGTAAAGCCAAGTGGATTTGTAAAGATGCTTATCTTATCCTCTGGCTCTGTTCAAATCACCAGAAAATATTAAGGCTGACGTGCCTAACTTGATATGCTTTGCAATTAATATTTTTATGCTAGATTAGAGTACACACAGACCTGCACAGATGCTAGGTTTGTAGTCAGTCAGCTGGTATTTCTAAGCAGCAGATGCTGCCTTTGCCATTGTGTTGTAGTCCTGTAAGCCTACTCTCCACAAATAAAGTCACTGCACATTTTAGTGTCAGTTTAGTGCCTTTACATGTAACTTGTTGTGTTACAGAAATCTTCTGCTTTCTCTGACAGGCAGCTTTAGTATGGCACTAAACTCTCCAGTTTCTGGGTTCACGTGTACAGTGTGTGTCAGCTCTTCTCAGATCCCTGTCCTTTCTGGCATTTGGTCTCTCCTTGAAATGTATGGGCTTCTCGGCTGAGCAGGGCATTA